AAGAGTGAGAATGGCCACCAGAGGAGGGGAGAATGCAGGATCCCATGGGCAGGGGAGGGCAGCGTCAGGGCTGTGTAGGGCAGCAGGCAGCTGCAGGCTGGGCCACTCATTGCCCAGGGCAGAATCCTCAAGGCTGCTCTCCGCAGCATGCAACATCATCTGTCAGTGCCTTGCAGCTGCCTGCTCTGCCTCAGCATGGTGGGCTTCGGCAGCATGACCCTGAAGCCATGCCAAGACAGGCAGCTTCCTGCAAAGCTGAGCTGCCATCAGTGCCTCATTCTGGGTAGCTGCAGCTTGGGCTCAAGGTGCTATCTCTGGTGGGATGCAGCTCAGACCTCAGTGCTCCCCATCCATTGGAGTGGTGCTCTGTGCTGGCTTGCTGAACCATGCTCCCCAGCTCTCATGCAGTGGCCAGCTGGGACAGTCCCAGGAAGACTTTGGCCCCTGGGTAAGACGTTGCAGTTTCTGAGCAGTTTATGGCTCTTTGTGCAGCTCCAGTCCCTGGCTCTCTCTCCAGGGTTGTTTGCTGGTTTGGGAAGCACCTCACAGATGGGGGGACTCTGGCCCTGCAGATGGTCACAGTGATGATGGGGACACTGAGAAACACTTCCCCATTGAGGAGTGACCAGTGTCTTTGCAGCTTGATGTGCTGTGTGGCACCAGCCAAGCTCAGCTGTGCTCCCGGCCCTGCTAGCCCTCAGGGACTGAGCTGGGACAGAGGCATGGCCAGTGGCACAGGGTTGGGGGGCGCACCTACCTGGAGGGGGCTCAGAGCAGCATCCTCCAGCAGCTGCTGCTGGTGCAGCTCCAAACCAGCCTGGCAGGAAAGGGAGCACTGAGAGATCCCAGGGTGGAGGGAGAAAAGGGACCCCCTGCACACACAGGAGGCTGCCCCCCTCAGAGCAGTGACCCTGTTGAAGGGCTGAACCCCAAGCTTGCAGCAGCCAGTGGCACTCAGGAAGCTCCCAGCAGTGGATCAAGATGAGACCCTGCTCCTCTGCACCCTCTGGGGCAGCAGATTGTACTGGGCACTGTGGAGACATGCAAAGCCAGATCCAAGATTCCTCATGGGGAAGCTGCTGGATGGTTCCCTAAAAGGTGCCAAGTGCAGCAGGTCCCAGCATTTGGAGAGAAGCAGCTGTCCCTCGGTCCTTCCATCCGTCCCTCAGCACTTCCATGCATCCCTTGGTGCTCCTTGTGCTGGAGCGTAGGGGATCCCCTCAGAGCAACAGCCCCAGGGAGCACAAGAGGGACTCTGGTGGGTCCCCACCCTGTAGGCTCTAGGGCCATGGGGGGCAGCTCAGGTGGTGCAGAGAGGCTGGCACCAGGTGTGCTGGCATCCCAGCTTGGGCACCGTGGAGACCCTCCAGGGACACACAAGTCCCTAAGGTGCCCGAGGGCCAGTAGTACTCTTATAGGGCTGGCATGGCATCCCCCCTGCCCAGCTGGGCACCTCCCTGAGGTACAGGTCGTCTGGGGCTGCTCCCTCTGCAAACAACTGACAGCTCATCCACCAGTGTTCTGCAATGGAAGCTGGAGCCTTCTAGGGTTGGGGGGGAACCAGGCTCCTGAGAGCAGCCCTTCTGCTCCCCCCCCACAACTGCAACCAGTGAGCTCAGGCCAGGATACAGCTTCAAAGTCGATTGTAGATTGCATGTTTCCACAGCTGGTTCTCCAAAGAAGTAGAACACAGCTGTGTGAGGCAGAAGGGAAGTATCTGTGGTGGTTACATGTGAGCCTCCTCCAAGCATCTGCTGGTGGGTCTGAGGTGCGGCTGCATGGCAAAGCCGTTGATGGTGGATCCTGGTCTCAGTATTCAAATTAGGGGAAAATCAGCTGTTGAATAGAGAAACAGCTGTATATTGGGCTTGTAAAAAAATGCTGCAAGCAGTGATGCAGCTAGAAATGGTGCATATTATATAAATAATAGTCAATCAGAAATAGTGAAGGTGATAAAACAGTGCAGATACTGCAAATAGTGACTTGCGATGGTACGGAGCTATGAAAGAAGTCCAGGTTCTATAAATAAGGCTCCATACCAGATCCTGGTGGCATCAGAGGTTAAGCCCTACTGCAGCTGGGGCCACAAATACAGATGCAAATTATCCTGCCAGGCAAATCATCCTGCCCCTGACTTGTGAAGACATCACCCAGGTGGGTGCTGCAGGCCAGCCCTGTGCTCTGCAGGTTTACAGCCAATCCTGGCCCAGGAGACCATCTGGGAGAGAGGAGAAGCCCCCTTCCTGGGAACCTGGCAGGCTCAGACCAGGGGCAGAAGCTCCTTCAGTCCTGGGAGGCTGGTGACTCAGTTTCTCCTTTCTCGATGTGCCAAGGGAATGTGGGTTAGGGGGGAAAGGGAGCCCTGCCACACTGGGGAGCAGACCCCAAGGTGGGCTATGGGCTGCTGCCTTCAAGTTTGGGAAAGGAGGGGGCTGGGGAAGGACAGCGAGCAGCTGGAGACTGGTTGCTCTAGCCCTGTGTGGCCTCAGGACAGTGCAGCCACGGTGGGCTGCTGCCAACACGGCGCCATGGCAGTGCTGCCCACCTGTGGGATCTGGGCATCGAGATCGTTGAAGAATTGGCATATCCCCCGTAATCCTCCCAAAGGTGCAGACCTGCCATGAGGCACTGGGATGAGCATCCCACCTTTGCCTTGGGGGATGCCCAGGGAGGGCAGTGCCAGGGACCTCCCTGCCAGGGTCTGCAGAGCCCAGGAGGATGAGAGCAATGAAGAGGTCAGTAGGGCAGCCGTGGCTGCCAACAACTATCACCTGGACCGTTCTAGGGTCCCCACACACCCCAGGAAGGCTGTGAGCCTTACCCGGTTTCTCTGGGGGTCTCTGCCAGGCATTGCTGGCACAGAGGGACAGAGGACTAGGGGAGCTCAGCACGAGGGTCCTTGCGGGGCGCTGAGACTCGAGGTTACCACGGGGGCTGAGCATGGCAGGGACCCTCTGGCTTGGTGGGGACAGTCGCTGGCCCCGGCCATGGGACTCCCCTCCCGTATACCGGTCACCAGCGGCGGTGGGGGAGGTCAGGCGACGTGTGGACGCTCTGGGCTTGTTTGGAAACAGGCAAGAAGTTGGGATTTGTTTTTCCAAGCTGGAGTGGGGGGAGGGCTGGGGTGGGGAGAGGAGAGGTGGGGTGGGCGGAGAATGTGCCGGGAGAAGGAGACGCTCCGCAAACTCCCGGCCGGGAGCCAGCCCCGCTGGGCGGGCTGTGCCGGAGGGGGGACCGGGCTGTGCCGGAGGGGGGACCGGGCTGTGCCGGAGGGGGGACCGGGCTGTGCCGGGGCAATCACTGAGCGCGTGTCCCCTTCCGCTCCAAGGGACATCAGCTGCTCAGGGTTGGATTTGGCCCCTGCAGGGCCCTTGGAGGTGGTTTTGGGGGGCACAGGGCTGAACCCTGTTCTTGCACATCACTGGGCACTGTGTGATGGGCCCTAGCAGGGATCCTCCAGCAGGGTTTCCTGCCAGTGAGTCTGTCCTGACATCCCCTGTGCACCCGCAGCCTGACACCCGTCCTGGACATCTGCGTGTCCTGACACATGTGTGTGCATCCCAGTGCTCTGTATCTCTGCGCAGCTGGGCTGGGTGCCTCGTGCCCAGGTTGTGGGGGACACATGTGAGCAGGGCCCAGAGGACACCTTTGTCGCTGCCACGTTGCAGAGGGCAGCTGATGGGGTGAAGCAGCCCAGTGAGGGACACCCCCCAAGTTTGCACCGTATCTGAGATGGAGAAGAGATATGCAGCAAGATGTGCCCTCCACAGTCACATGGTGGCTCTGCCACCTGCCTGCACTGGCTGTCCTGCCCAGCCCAGCTCTGGGCACCACACAGCCTGTCCTGGTGTTGCCAGGGCTGTGCCACTGCATGCACCCAGCTCCTGGGGGTGCTGGGTCCCCAGTGCCTATCCACCCTGAACTCCATCCCCTCCACCCAGAGCAGGCAGTAGAGCTGTGTCCAGCTTGGTACAGGGGTGCTGGCCATGGCAGCCCTACACTTTCCTCCAGCAATCCCCAGATCCTCTTGACAGCCTCCCCACAAACCCTGCCAACTATCCTGCAAACCCCACGGCAACTCCCCCAGTGCCAAAACCACACTCCAGCTGAATATGGAGCATCCCTCTGCACTGTAGGTTCCTTGTGCCACCAACCACCTCCAAGCCTCCCCCCAACTCACCATGGCCTTTATGGGGCAAGGGGGGGACCACCTAGGGGTGGCTGCCTGGTGGTTTGCAGGAGTTAGACCTTTGCCAGAGTCCAAACTAGGCAAAAAAACGTCATGGAGTCTGAGCATGACCTCTGAGCATAGGCTCCAGTTACCCTGGAAAGCAGTGGGACCTGGGTGCTTATCTCAGGTTTGCAGAGATAGGCAGAGGGATGTAGGTGGTTTTGGTGGGTCTCAGCATTGTCTTCCCAGTCCAACACCCCCATCCTGCTGGCCTGCGCTGACTCTTCCCACAGGCAAGGCAAGGCAGAGCAGGCAGCTTGGGCAGATGACAGCCACAGCCTTGGCTGGGACCACCATGGGCTGTTGGGGTGAAATGGGACAGCCTCACCCACCCATACATGACCATGTCTGGACCTGTACCTCCAGAGCCACAGGAAGCTGGAGGTGATAGAGATGAGGTACAGGACAAGTTTTGGGAAGCAGAGCCAATCCCAGTCCATGCCAGCCTTGTGTTCTTCCTGCCTTCCTTCCTCCTTTCTTTCCTCTCTCCCTGCCTCCCTCTTTTCTTCCCTCCCTTCCTTCCCTTCCTTTTCTCCCTTGCAGGACCAAGCTCACATCTCCCAGCTTCCTAGCTGGGACACCTTCAAGCCCCGTCACCACCATTACACTGGGGAAAATGAGGTGTGCAAGAAAAGGCAGGGCCTGCCCTTGAGCCCTCATCTCCAGGCTCTGCATCCCACCCCCTCTGCAGGATGTGCCCCCTTGCCCTGACCTCCCGGACACACTTGGATCCCTGAGGGGCTTTTAACAAGGTTCTCTTTTCTTGCAGGAGTCCCTGGTGCTATACCAGGAGGGGGAGTCCCAGGAGCAGGCTTTTTCCCAGGTAAGGGGCTCCAGGCAGTGTTGGGAGGGCATCACTCTGTTTGTAGATATCGGGCAGGTGCTGAGGAGTTCCCAGGTACCTCTAAGCCAGCACAGAGGGCTGGGTACCTGCCAGCCATGATCAGGGGACATGGGGACACCCTGTCTGGCTGCTCAGCCTTGGGTGGCTGCCCCAGTGCTAGTCCCACAGTGTCGAGACAGGACTTGGAAGCAGTGCCAGGCCTACACCCTGCTCAGCGCTGGCCACAGGGGGTGCTCTGAGGTCACAAGCTGTCCCCAGTGTTTCAGCCAAAAGTCTGGGGACATCCCAGTGAAAATGCCCCACCCCTTGCACCCTTGTGACAGTCTCTCTGCCTTCCTATGGACCCCTGGGGGCCTGGCACGAGTGAGTGGGTGGGTTGTGCTCACAGGGCTGGGTGCTAATACTGTGCCATTGCTCACAGGTGCTGGAGTTGGAGGTTTAGGAGCAGGTGAGTGCTGGGACCCCCTTTTCGCAGGTTGTATGGGATGGGGAGGGGGGGCAGCACCTTCACAGAGCTGCCTGGTGTTGAGCATGGAGTCTGCTATGAGGCTGGTCTGTCCCACATCCCTCCCCTGGGGGATGCTCAGAGGAAGGATAGCTCTGACCTCTCTTCACGTACTCTTCCCTAGGACTCGGGGCTGCAGGAAAACCTCTCAAACCAGGTAAAGAGCTTTTCCTTGGCCCTCTCACCATCGCTGGCATTGCCAGTGGCCAGGACGTTTCCCAGCCCCTGTTGCCTTCATGTTTTTCCCACATAACCAAGGGAATTGCCCTGCCCAATGCACCCCCATGGCCAAGGCATGCAGCAACTGGCACTTTAAGCCCTGTCTTACCCTACTAAACCCTACCAAGCCCCCAGAGCCTGAGAAGCCTTCCTCCCTCATCCCCCAATTCCTCACCCTGCCCCCAGTCCCCACTGATCACCCTCTTGGGGTGCTTGTGCTTGCAAAAACCTGCACCAAAGCTCCTTGGGAAGATGCAAAGCTGGGTATCACAGCTGGGACCAGTGGGGAGCTGACATCACCTGCATTCCTGGCTAAGCAGCTTCTGCTGGGGCTTCTGCAGCCCACGCTGGGGTTTGTCTGGCCTAGAAAGGAGGAGGCATGAGGGAACATCGCTGGAAGAGAGATGAGATGCTGGCAGGATGCAGAGGCCCAAGGCACTGAACCTGGGGCACAGCTGGGAGGTGCTGGGTCAGCAGGAGACAAATCTGGTGCCAGTGAAGATGCTCAGTGCCCATTGAGGCCCAGGGAGGGATGCTCTTTTAGGTGGATACCCAGGTTCCCCCTCCCTTCCTGCCCTGGGGCTACCCGCTGTGCCCCAGGACAGAGGCACAGTGCCCCCCCCCATGGCCCCCCAGCTGGCCTGGCTGTGTGGCAGGAGCACCAGCCTGAGGCAGGACCCGACAACCTCCGTTTACTCAGATTTCAGCTTGTGGAAAGAAAAACAAGGCCCTTTACTTTGGCGTAATTAAAACCAAACGTGGTAGTGCGGCTCTGAAGCCCCAGCCGAGCGGCATCTTCCCCAAGCCAAGGGCTGTGGAATTTGCGCCTGAAGGGAGCGAGGGCTGATTAGCCCCAGATGTTGGAAGGCGGCGCTGGCCTGAGCTGCAGGCACTCATTCCTCAGCCATAAACATTTTGTCTCTGTCCCCTTGTGGCTTGGCAGGGTGGGAAGTAAGTGAGGCAGAAAGGGACAGGATGGGAGACACAGATGTTGGTGGGCATGTTCGTCACCCATCCCTATGCCTATCCCCTGGACATGCTCCCACCTCCCAGGGATGGTGCAAGTGGGACACATCTGCTCCTCTGGCTCTGGATGTCTCCCTCTGCCTCACCCTACTTCTCTTTCCAGGGGTCGGAGCTCTTGGGGGACTTGGCGCACTTGGCCTGCAGCCAGGTGAGCACAGACCACCAGCCAGCCCTGCTCTGGGCTGTCCCCAGGACAGTGTTCCCAGCGACCCATCCTAGGGACAGCATGTGGCTTGTCCCCATCAAGTGCCCTCTGTAGCCTGCCTGGCAGGTCCCATCTGGGCTAGGGTTCCTTCCCAGACCCGAGGGACTAGCAGCCACCAACGTGCAGCCCTGTGGTCCCCCAACCATGGCTGGATGCCCCTGAGCTGTGATGGTCAAGGAGGGACCTGGGGTCCCCGCAGGGTCTTCAGCAGTGGGACAGTGCCTGCATGTGGCTGTCCAGCCTGCCTGGAGCTGCAGGGAACCCCAGCATGTGCAGTGGCCAGTGACACTGCAGGGTGCCCTGGGTGGTGGTGGCACAGCTAGTGATGGGTGGGATGTGGATGGAAGAAGGTACTTGGGCGTGGCGGGTGCTGGGAGAAGCCAATGCAGGACAGGGCCATGCCTACAAGCTGCTGCCTTGCCCAGCCTAACGCCAGCCCCCAGCACTACCACGCAGCTCCCCACAGACCAGCACCACCCCTGTGCCCACATGTGTGGGGATGCTCATGCAGGTTCTTCTCCTCCCCACAGGTGCTGGGGGTCTCTTCCCCGGAGGTGCCTTCCCTGGGGGTGTCTTCCCGGGTGCTGCCTCTGCTGCCGCGCTCAAGGCTGCAGCCAAAGCTGGTGAGTGCCAGAGGTGTCCCAGGCCATGCTGAGCCAGGTAGCAATGCCAGGCAAGGCAACAGTGGGGCTTGGGCAGCACCCAGAGACTCCTGGTGTCCCCTGGGATCCTGGATTAGGAAAGCTTTCTCTGTGAAGCTGGGGGGGCTGCAGGTAGGAAGTGCTCTCACAGGGATCCCCAACAATTTGGAGGGACACTGGCACTTCTTGGTGTGCTGGGAAGGGGTATTGGCCAAACCTGAGCCCACAGGAGCCAAGAGCACTGAGCTGCCTGGTCCCTCTGCCCAGGTCTAGAGGACCCACCCCTCGTAGTGACTCAGGGTGTTCTCTTCACCCCCCAAGAGCCATCCTGAGCTTGTTCCTTCCTTCTGCACTGATCTGGCAACCTGTAGTCCAGCAGTGGCATCTCTCACTGGTACCCTCCTCTTCCCATTGCCCCCAAGTGCTGCCATTGGTGGCGTGGGTGGAGCTAGTGCCCCTGGTGGCCTCAGGGTCTCCACAGGTAGGTTATATCCTTCAGCGCCAGTGTAGCCAAGCCTGGGGCAGACTTGTCCACGTGCCTGCCAGGGGCTGGTGCCCACAGCTCAAGGGGTCTCTGCTGCCTGCAGGTGTGGTAGCACCGGGCGGGGTGCAGCCTGGGCCTGGTGCAGCAGGAAAACCCCCCAAAGTACCAGGTAGGTGCACAGTCCCAGATGCGGGGGCTGAGGTGGGGATTGGCTTCAGCCAGGCATTCATCCCTCCCTTTCTCTCGCCCGGCAGGCGCTGGGATTCCTGGAGCTTTCCCGGGTGGTGTGCTCCCCGGCACAGGTGAGCTGGGGGTCCCCACCCCACTGGCAGCACCCCCACCTCCAAAGGGGTCCTCACCTGGTGCCAGCACCCTGGTTTTGATCAATAGTCTTGTGGCCAACTAGGCATTATAACAGTTTCCAAACCCTTTTGCTGGGGCCATAGTGACATTCCACCATGCCAAAGACAGGGGACCCAGCATCATCAGATACTTGTGCCAAGCTCAGCGGGAGCAGGCAACTCTGAGAAAGGAGCTGGCACAGAGCACACCAGGGCCAGCTTGCCCAGCCAGGGAAGATGGTGCGGGGGCGTGGCGGGTGCGGGAAAAAGCCAATGCAGGACAGGGCCATGCCTACAAGCTGCTGCCTTGCCCAGCCTAACGCCAGCCCCCAGCACTACCACGCAGCTCCCCACAGACCAGCACCACCCCTGTGCCCACATGTGTGGGGATGCTCATGCAGGTTCTTCTCCTCCCCACAGGTGCTGGGGGTCTCTTCCCCGGAGGTGCCTTCCCTGGGGGTGTCTTCCCGGGTGCTGCCTCTGCTGCCGCGCTCAAGGCTGCAGCCAAAGCTGGTGAGTGCCAGAGGTGTCCCAGGCCATGCTGAGCCAGGTAGCAATGCCAGGCAAGGCAACAGTGGGGCTTGGGCAGCACCCAGAGACTCCTGGTGTCCCCTGGGATCCTGGATTAGGAAAGCTTTCTCTGTGAAGCTGGGGGGGCTGCAGGTAGGAAGTGCTCTCACAGGGATCCCCAACAATTTGGAGGGACACTGGCACTTCTTGGTGTGCTGGGAAGGGGTATTGGCCAAACCTGAGCCCACAGGAGCCAAGAGCACTGAGCTGCCTGGTCCCTCTGCCCAGGTCTAGAGGACCCACCCCTCGTAGTGACTCAGGGTGTTCTCTTCACCCCCCAAGAGCCATCCTGAGCTTGTTCCTTCCTTCTGCACTGATCTGGCAACCTGTAGTCCAGCAGTGGCATCTCTCACTGGTACCCTCCTCTTCCCATTGCCCCCAAGTGCTGCCATTGGTGGCGTGGGTGGAGCTAGTGCCCCTGGTGGCCTCAGGGTCTCCACAGGTAGGTTATATCCTTCGGCGCCAGTGTAGCCAAGCCTGGGGCAGACTTGTCCACGTGCCTGCCAGGGGCTGGTGCCCACAGCTCAAGGGGTCTCTGCTGCCTGCAGGTGTGGTAGCACCGGGCGGGGTGCAGCCTGGGCCTGGTGCAGCAGGAAAACCCCCCAAAGTACCAGGTAGGTGCACAGTCCCAGATGCGGGGGCTGAGGTGGGGATTGGCTTCAGCCAGGCATTCATCCCTCCCTTTCTCTCGCCCGGCAGGCGCTGGGATTCCTGGAGCTTTCCCGGGTGGTGTGCTCCCCGGCACAGGTGAGCTGGGGGTCCCCACCCCACTGGCAGCACCCCCACCTCCAAAGGGGTCCTCACCTGGTGCCAGCACCCTGGTTTTGATCAATAGTCTTGTGGCCAACTAGGCATTATAACAGTTTCCAAACCCTTTTGCTGGGGCCATAGTGACATTCCACCATGCCAAAGACAGGGGACCCAGCATCATCAGATACTTGTGCCAAGCTCAGCGGGAGCAGGCAACTCTGAGAAAGGAGCTGGCACAGAGCACACCAGGGCCAGCTTGCCCAGCCAGATGCAATGTGGAAAGGAGGGGGAGGAGATGGTGGGGGGAGAGGAATTCCTCACTGCAAAGTAATTTGGGGGAGGAAAACTTGTGAAAACAAGATGTTTCAACATAGTCAGAAGGAGAAGTGTGTTACTGGTAAGGAATGTCCTTTCCATGTCAGAGAATGCCTGAGTTATAATGAAAGACATTTGTAAAAGGGGAAACAAAACAAAACTTCAACACCAAAAACCCAACCCAAATTACTGCAAGGATAAAGGATAAACTGCTGCCTATTTCCCCTTGAGGGTCAGAGTTCTGCAGGCAGACAGACCCCCCCTCCAGCTTCCCATAGAGCCCCAGCTTGCTCAAAGCCACCACATGTCACCAAGGGCAGGCAGCAAGGCCTAGGGCTTGGCTGCATCGTGGCATTGGCTGGTGCTCTGATGTTATGAGTGAGACCCATGTCCCCTGCAAACACCCCAAGCTCCTGTGTGGGCAGCTCGGTGCCCATCCCACTCCCCCAGAGCACAGGCATCCCAAGGGCTGGAGCAAACCCTTCCCCAGCAGCTTTGCCTGAGGGGAGGCAGCTTTGGCCCTGGGAGATAAGAGAACCTTGTCCCAGGGTACAGGCTCTGTGCTGGGCCAGAGTTGAGTGACAGGGATTTGGGAGCTGGATACAAAGGTTTTGCGTGTCAACAAGGCCTCACGGTGCTCACCTGGCACCTCTGGTCTCTGCCTCAGGTGTTCGCTTCCCTGGCGTAGGGGTGCTGCCTGGAGTGCCCACTGGTGCTGGAGTCAAGCCAAAAGGTCCAGGTAGGTCTCCTCAGGCCTCTGGGCAGAGGCGACTCCAGCTCTGCCACCATCCCCACCCTGCCAGGGCTGGCTTCAGCCCATCTTTCAGGCTTGCTGCCCCACAGGGCACTTGGGTGGGTGAAACTGACTCCCAGCTGAGCCTACAAAGCCCGTGCAAACTGGTGTGTACCCTGAGGACCAGCCCCAGGGCTCATGTGGTGCCTTTGTGTTTCTGCCTAGGAGCAGGAGCCTTCGCAGGAGTCCCTGGTGAGTGTCCTATCTCTTTCACCTGTTCCCTTCTCAAACCTGTTCATCACAGCCATGGCCTCCCCACCCCAGAAGACGCCTCAGGGCTTCCCAAGCCACTCACTCTCTTCTCTTGAGATTCTCTTGTGCACTCCCCTCTCGCAAGGACTTGTGGCAGCCTGGGTACAGGCTCCAGGTGAGAGTCTGCTGTTGGCTTTGCAGGACTAGGAGGTTTTGGAGGTCAGCAGCCCGGTGTCCCTCTGGGGTATCCCATCAAAGCTCCTAAGCTCCCAGGTAAGCTGTCACAGCCAACAGCCTGGAGTTGAAGGACCCCCAGTAGTGCCAGGAGAAGTTCCCCAGGGCTGAGCCATTGTGCCCCTGGTCCCCTGGACATGTCAGGATCGGTATTGGCCCTGAGACAGCAGGACAGAGTGAAGGGCACTGGGCAGATGTGTCCAGCAGCAGCCCTACTTATCACAGCCCTATGGGCCACTGCCTGCTGCTGGTGCTCTTGCCTACAGTCCATGAGGATGATGCTATTCTTTTCTCCAGCTGTTGTAAGGTAGGAAAGAGCATGTTCTGGGGACATACTTTGGGCCAGGCCACCCCAGGTTGTCCCTGCTGGCTCCTCCTTGCATGAGGCACAGCCCTTGCAGGGACTGTCTGCTTTCTGTGGCTCCTGGGGTTGTGCTGGGCATTCATCTGGGCCTTATGTCCCAGCTCAAGGAGCTCTAGCCAGAGGCACCACCAGCAGGCAGGTGGTGGGGATGGAGCTCTGGGCAGGTCTCCCTTCCTGCTGCCCACCAAGATGAGGTTTAGGTCCAGCCTGAGGGTTCTCAGCAGCCCTTTTCCAGGCTGAGATGCTCTAGGGATCTCAGTCTTCCAGCCCTGTGCCAGGTGCCAGCTCTGCCCATCCCCAGCTGGCTGTGCCCTTGAAGGGACAGCAGCAGGACCAGCAGTTCCAGGCAGCCTGTTCTGGGTGCTGTGCCCTTCAAGGGTCAGGCTGCCAGCTTATCGGTCCCCAGAGGATTCCCAAGGAGGGGGGCAGCCAGATTTTTGTGAGGACCTGCATCCCTGAGCTGACAGAGAGCAAATGGATCTGGGGGCGTTTTGTACTCACCAAAACCTGTTGCAGCCCCGTCAGGGTCCCACAGCCTGAATGGGACACTGCTGCTGGTCACCCACTTTTTGGGGAGTCTTCATTCAATGAATTAGGGAAGGGCACCCATCTCCTTGGCCAGGGACCCCAGATGGTGCATCATGCCTCTTGCAGGGGCCAACAGGACAGTGGTGGTGTCCTAGCTGTGGTTTCAGCCATGGGGTACTGCCTGGCACCTCGGGCCTTCCCAGGGTGCAGGGGGATGCTTACCTCTGAGGGCTTGGGGCCAGTGGTGTGGGGATATGCTGGGCTGACTGTCAAGGCTCTTAGTTTGATACTACAGACAGACCCAGGGGCTCCCAGTCATCCTGGTGTCCCTTGGGCCGTATCCCAGCTACAGCAGTTTCAGGTTTGTAGGGGACAAGCGGATGGAGGGGAAAATAAGGTTTTGCAGTGGAAAGTCTTCTTTTTGGATTATTTGCTCCAAACACCCCAGCCAACTTCTGCTCTATGCTGTCACTGCTCATGAGGTGGCCTCGGAGTGACTTCACTTGCTGGTGGATCAGTTGTGGCTGAAATTGGGGTCCCATTTGATGCCCTAGGGATGGGGACTGTTCCCCAGTGCCTGGACACACTTGAATATCATCGATCTATGCCAAACCACTTCAATTCCTGCCAGCATGCAGGGCCCTGAGCCCCCGAAGCAGGATGCCCTCTGTGGCATCCTCACACTGGCACAGGATGAGTCCCCCACAGCCCTGGGGACAGGGCTGATCTCACACCTCGCTGGGGATGATGGGGACCTGGGCTTGGACCTGGCAAAACCCTTTGAGACCCAAGGGCTTGGACTAAGCCCTTGGAGTCACTGCCACCTCTGTCACCCAGCGCCAAATACTTCGGCAGCTTTGGGATGAGCAAGGTGCTGATGGGTTGTCCCAAGATGGGTGACTGGGGCCCCTAAGGTGGAGGACACCCAGCACAGCTCATGGCCACTGCAGCCTGGGAAGACTCTTCCTTCCAGCAATACTGTGCTCGGTGGGACACACCAAGACAGCCTGGCAGGATGGAGGGAAATCTGGTCTCAACATGCTGGTTGGCAGGAGGGGACAGTGTCCCATGCTCAAGGCTATGCTTTGCCATGAGCAATCCTGTCCTGCCTGCAGTAGATCCCCACCCTGCTCACAACACCCTCTGGCAGGAGGGCTTGGTGTGCAACACCCTCCAAGGAAAGTGCCGCTGGATGTGTCCCCATGGGGGAAGTGGCAGCCCTATCTCCACTCCTCAGGCCACTGCCAGCAGCAATGGGAGCTTGGTGCTGCTGGCTCCCAAGCACCCAATCCTTGTGGAGTCACGGGCATCCCTGTGCTGTCTGAAGCGGTGGAATCCTGCTCTTTCACAAGGAGGCATTTCGTCAGCAGCCGCAATGTTCCCGCTCATAATCCCTCCCCTCCTCACTAGGTCACGTATCAGCAGAGGCTTCCAAGCCTTGATTCCAATTAAAAGCTTTCCTTCAGAGCTGGCCATGGTGTGTCCAGCTGGGTACAGCTCTAGTCACTGGGCTCCTGTGTGACCCCCTGCCTAAGTGGTGTCATGGGAGGCTCCTGCAAAACCAGATTCAGATGCCACAGCCCTGGTTGCAAGGCGGAGAGTGGGTGGCTCTTTTTGGAGCCACTGATTCCAAGGTGATGGAGAAGAGCATGTCCTGGCCCAGCTCCATCACAGGGGGATTGTATGAGGATTTACTATCCTGATGGAAGAAGCCCTGTGGGCTGGTGCCATGTGTGGTGCTGGCTGGCAGAGAGGGGCTACACCACGGGGCAGAGGGGCATAGGCACTGGCAGCCAGGTGCTAACCCACCACCTTCTCTCCTCTCCAGGTGGCTATGGATTGCCCTACAGCACTGGTAAGCTGCCCTACGGTGAGTGCTCATAGCCCTCACTGTGGTTGTAGCTCCTTGTGACTCTGCCAGTTGCCGCCATGTCCTTGTGGTCACCAACCCCTGGGCAGTGTGAGGACCATCCCTCTCCCAGGGCAAGGTGGTCCCTTGGGGGACCCTTGCTGTGATGCCTATTGTCCTAGATGGGAGCGACCCAGCTCTCCTAGCATCCCAGGCCATGGGGCTGGGAGCCTTTCACCTGTGAGAGATGTTCTGGTTCTGTGCTAGGACACATCCCAGGTGACTGCCAGCTCTGGGTGGGGATGTTTGAACAAGTTTGCATCTCCACTGGGGAAGAGCCGGCTCCGGCATTCCCCCAACATCTGCTGACACTCCCACACTGACTGGGGAGGGAAAGGTCCTTTGGACTGAGGAAGCTGCTCCGACTGCCTCACCCCACTTCCTTTGGCCAGTGCCTGACCTGGCTTTGCCTCTCTGATTGTGCTTGCAGGCTTTGGGCCCGGTGGGATAGGAGCTGGCATTGGAGCAGGAGGAAAGGCAGGGTACCCCACTGGGACAGGTACACTCCTTTTGCAGGCACACCCAGGATGGGGCACTGCCACAGGCACGGTGGGGAGATGGTACTGCCGTCACTTTGCTGGTCCTTGGGTTGGGTGTTAGCCACTGCCTGGTGGCCCTGGGGCAACAGTATCACCACTGGGACAGCCTGGAGAGGTGCATCACCACCCAGATGAGAGGAGGGCGAATGCTGACAGGAGGGGCCAGTCCCCAGGGCCCCTGTGGGATAAGGGAGCTGAAGTGGTAATAGTCTGGGGACCTCAGGGGCTGCTCATGTTCTTCCCCAGGAGTTGGAGCACAGGCGGCAGCAGCAAAAGCAGCAGCAAAATATGGTGAGTTGCCCTCCCCAGGCACATCCATCCCATATTGCCCCAGTGGGCCAGCTGATCCCTCCCTCCCTTCTGGGCTGCGGAGGATGCTTGGTGTATCCCTGCATGACCAAGATGATGGCCCCCTTCTCCCATGTGGCAGGAGCTGGTGCCCTCCCAGGAGCTGGTGGTGTCCCAGGGGTTGGTGGAGTGGTCCCAGGTGCTGGCATTGTCCCAGGAACTGGAGGTGAGGTGATGGTAGGGCTTGGTCCTGTGGTGCACAGAAGGTCATAGCCCCTGTCCGGCACTCCTGACTCTATCCCACTCCTTCAGCAGTAGCGGGGCCAGCTGTGGCGGCTGCAGCAGCAAAGGCAGCAGCAAAGGCAGCAGCAAAGGCAGGAGCTTTAGGTGAGTTCTCTCAGACAGATCCAGCAGCTGCTCGAGAGCAAGGCTGACTCTTAGGACACGTAAGAACGGGGCATTGGTGCTGGGGTTTCACCACCTGCCTCACCACCCCAGCCCATCTCCTGGGGTCCTCTACCAGCCCCAGACCTCTGGAGCTGAGCTGAGAATCCCGATCCTGGGTGCATCAGAGCTCACCTGAGCAGCTGGTCCTGGAGCATCCCATGACACCGGGGGAAACTGTTTTCCCAGTAGCAGCACAGGGTGTTTTGGCGGCTCTGACTGCTCTGCTTCCTTCCAGGTGCAGGGGTTGGCGGCGTCCCAGGCCTCGTGCCTGGCGTTGGTGGTGTCCCCGGCTTGGTGCCCGGTGTTGGAGGTGTCCCTGGGGTAGCAGGTGACTGTTGCCAGGAGCCCTGTCCCCACTGCCCGGCTCTGTGCGGGGCACGAGGGCTGGTGGCTGAGGGTCCCTCTCTCTCTTGTTCCCAGGAGTCGGGGCGCCGTCAGCAGCAGCAGCAGCAAAAGCAGCCAAGTACGGTAGGTGCTGCACGGTGCACGGAGCTCCCAGCAGCTCCCCGGGGACCCCTGCTCACCTTCTGCACCCCTGGCACTTGGGGTGTCCCCAGGCAGGCAGGTCTTCCCAGGGATCCCTGCCAATGGGTTCTTAAAGCCCAGGCAGTTCCTTGGAAGCTGCCCTGCCCGACAGCAGCTCTCCTTTGGGGGCTGAGCTGCAGCCATTTCTTCCATCTCTCTTCCATGTCCTGTAGAGAGAAATCCCACCACATGCCCAGGGAAGTGGGGCATTTAGGATGAAAATGGGCCTTGAGGAGTTGATGCCTGGTTTCTCCATGAGATGTAGTTTTGCTGTGCTGAGCTCCCATGGGGTGTCTAGAGAGACAGTTCCTGTAAGGAGCTGCCACTCGTTAGTGGTGGATGCGCTTGGTGATAACAATCCCATGTTCACTGCTGCCCTTGTTGACTGTTCTGTGGGTAAAGAGCAAGGAACAAAAAACTGCTGCTTGGAGCATCCAAAGCCTGCATCAGCCCTGGGGGCAGCTGGGATTTACAAGCACTGCCCTGGGGAACTCGAGGGTCCCCAAGCTCCTGGGTGGCCTGGTGGGCTCCAGACCCCTGGGTTAGAATCACAGAAATAGGAAATAGTTTTGGATGGAAAAAACCTTTAAGATGACCAAGTCCAAACATTAATCCAGCACTGTCAAAGCCACCACTAACCCATGTCCCTCAGCACCACATCTCTAAGGTTTTTAAATCGCTCCACGGATGATGACTCCACCACTGCCCTGGGCAGCCTGGCCAGGGCCTGACAGTGCGTGGGTTGGGTATAGGAAGCTGGGAATCCCCATCCTGGGAGCATCCCAGGTCTCCTGAGTAGGTGGTTTCTGAAGTGCAGAGAGCCCACCTCAAAGCCAGGTGCCTGGAGCCTACCATGACACTGGGGAGACTATTTTCCCAGTAGCAGCACAGGGTGTTTTGGCGGCTCTGACTGCTCTGCTTCCTTCCAGGTGCAGGGGTTGGCGGCGTCCCAGGCCTCGTGCCTGGCGTTGGTGGTGTCCCCGGCTTGGTGCCCGGTGTTGGAGGTGTCCCTGGGGTAGCAGGTGACTGTTGCCAGGAGCCCTGTCCCCACTGCCCGGCTCTGTGCGGGGCACGAGGGCTGGTGGCTGAGGGTCCCTCTCTCTCTTGTTCCCAGGAGTCGGGGCGCCGTCAGCAGCAGCAGCAGCAAAAGCAGCCAAGTACGGTAGGTGCTGCACGGTGCAAGGAGCTCCCAGCAGCTCCCCGGGGACCCCTGCTCACCTTCTGCACCCCTGGCACTTGGGGTGTCCCCAGGCAGGCAGGTCTTCCCAGGGATCCCTGCCAATGGGTTCTTAAAGCCCAGGCAGTTCCTTGGAAGCTGCCCTGCCCGACAGCAGCTCTCCTTTGGGGGCTGAGCTGCAGCCATTTCTTCCATCTCTCTTCCATGTCCTGTAGAGAGAAATCCCACCACATGCCCAGGGAAGTGGGGCATTTAGGATGAAAATGGGCCTTGAGGAGTTGATGCCTGGTTTCTCCATGAGATGTAGTTTTGCTGTGCTGAGCTCCCATGGGGTGTCTAGAGAGACAGTTCCTGTAAGGAGCTGCCACTCGTTAGTGGTGGATGCGCTTGGTGATAACAATCCCATGTTCACTGCTGCCCTTGTTGACTGTTCTGTGGGTAAAGAGCAAGGAACAAAAAACTGCTGCTTGGAGCATCCAAAGCCTGCATCAGCCCTGGGGGCAGCTGGGATTTACAAGCACTGCCCTGGGGAACTCGAGGGTCCCCAAGCTCCTGGGTGGCCTGGTGGGCTCCAGACCCCTGGGTTAGAATCACAGAAATAGGAAATAGTTTTGGATGGAAAAAACCTTTAAGATGACCAAGTCCAAACATTAATCCAGCACTGTCAAAGCCACCACTAACCCATGTCCCTCAGCACCACATCTCTAAGGTTTTTAAATCGCTCCACGGATGATGACTCCACCACTGCCCTGGGCAGCCTGGCCAGGGCCTGACAGTGCGTGGGTTGGGTGTAGGAAGCTGGGAATCCCCATCCTGGGAGCATCCCAGGTCTCCTGAGTAGGTGGTTTCTGAAGTGCAGAGAGCCCACCTCAAAGCCAGGTGCCTGGAGCCTACCATGACACTGGGGAGACTATTTTCCCAGTAGCAGCACAGGGTGTTTTGGCGGCTCTGACTGCTCTGCTTCCTTCCAGGTGCAGGGGTTGGCGGCGTCCCAGGCCTCGTGCCTGGCGTTGGTGGTGTCCCCGGCTTGGTGCCCGGTGTTGGAGGTGTCCCTGGCTTGGTGCCTGGTGTTGGAGGTGTCCCTGGGGTAGCAGGTGACTGTTGCCAGGAGCCCTGTCCCCACTGCCCGGCTCTGTGCGGGGCACGAGGGCTGGTGGCTGAGGGTCCCTCTCTCTCTTGTTCCCAGGAGTCGGGGCGCCATCAGCAGCAGCAGCAGCAAAAGCAGCCAAGTACGGTAGGTGCTGCACGGTGCAAGGAGCTCCCAGCAGCTCCCCGGGGACCCCTGCTCACCTTCTGCACCCCTGGCACTTGGGGTGTCCCCAGGCAGGCAGGTCTTCCCAGGGATCCCTGCTAGTGTGTTCTTATGGAGAAGCACCTGGGGATGGAATGCCCACAGCCTATGTCCCTTCAGGCCTGGCTTTGTCCCCAAAGCAGGACCTTCTTCCTCTCTGGGATTTTCGCAGCCATGACACAAGAGTATGAGAGCAACCTATGTTGAGGTTCCACCTTAAAACTGTTCTTGCAATTGTATCTGTCTTTTTTCCTCACATTGCCTCCTGTAGCTGGCATTGGTGTTCCTGGCATTGGTGGCGTTCCTGGTGTCCCTGGAGTCCCTGGAGTCCCTGGTGTTCCTGGAGTCCCTGGTGTTCCTGGAGTCCCTGGTGTCCCCGGTGTTGCTGGCGTTCCTGGCTTGGTTCCCGGCATTGGTGGTGAGTGGCTGTGCTGGCAGGAGCCAATGTGCTGGTGCTGGCCTTGCTGGTCCTCTGACTCTCCCCTTTCTGTGTCCTCAGTAGGTGGCCCAGGAGCCGCGGCAGCCGCGGCAAAGGCAGCAGCGAAAGCCGCAGCTTTTGGTGAGCCACTGTCACCCTTTCCCAGGGAGTGAGGAGAGATGCTGGTGGGTGGGGAGCACCCCTGGGACTGTGGATGGTGGGGAGCATAGCAGGACCCCTACCTGCAGAGGCTGCCCGCTTTGCCACATCCCTGCACTTCTCTGCAGGAGCAGGGCGCGTGCCCAGTGTCGGCGTGCCCGGCGTTGGAGTCGGTGTGCCTGGCGTCGGTGTACCTGGAGTCGGTGTGCCTGGAGTCGGTGTGCCTGGAGTCGGTGTGCCTGGAGTCGGTGTGCCTGGTTTGGTGCCTGGGGTTGGAGCCATACCAGGTGAGATGGTGTCTAAGGGATGCTGAGGACATCCCCAACAGGGCCAGCTGAGGTGTGCCAGTGTGGCCACCATGGCCCATCACTACCGCTCACACTCCCCCTCTCCCTCAGGAGGTCCAGCAGCCGCCGCTGCTGCCAAAGCAGCTGCCAAAGCAGCCAAGTACGGTAAGCCAGAACCTCTATGAGGTTATCCCACATGCACTGTCTTATTCCACCCTCCCACCCCAGACTGTTTCCTTTGTCGGGGCTGAGGCCCAGCCCTGCACATGATCCCTGCAGGTCAGGGCAAGGGATGAGCCCTCTTCAGGGCTGTATGTGCAATGGGGTCCTGGCTATGTCAGGCTGTGCTCTCCAGCCACCTGGGCTGCATGGAGGGTCCCAGGTTCACCATCCATACACCTTGTTATAGAACCATAGAACAATAGAATAGTTAAGGTTGGAAAAGACCTCTAGGATCATCAAGTCCAGCTACCAACTCAATACTACCATGCCAACCATGTCTTCAAGTGTCACATCTACACATTTTTTTAACATTTCCAGGGGTGGTGACTCCTCCATTTTGCTGGGCAGCCTGTTCCAATGTTTGACCACTCTTTCAGTAAAGAAATTGTTCCTAATATCCAATCTAAACCTCCCCTGGCACAACTTGAGGCCATTTCCTCTCCATGTAATGCTGATTACTTGGGAGAAGAGATCAACACCCACCCACAGAGAATGAGAAGGTCTCCCTTCAGCCTCTTCTCCTCCAGGCTGAAGAGCCCCACTTCCCTCAGCTGCTCCTTCTCAGACCTGTGCTGCAGACCCATCCCCAGCTTTGTTGCCCTCCTCTGAACATGCTCAAACCCCTCACTGTCCTTCCAGGGAGGGGGGGGGGAAGGGGGAGGTGGGAAAACTGACCCCAGGATTTGAGATGCAGCCCCACCAGTGGGGCCAATCCCTGCCCTGGTCCTGCTGGCCACACTAGTGCTGATACAAGCCAGGATGCTTGTGGCCTTCTTGGCCACCTGCGCACACACTGGCTCATGTTTAGCCAGCTGTCAGCCCCTGGGTCCTTTTCTGCCAGGCAGCATTCCAGCCACTCTTCCCCAAGCCTGGAGTGTTGTCTGGGGCTTTTTGTGAGTGACATGTAGGACCTAGCCCTTGGCCTTGTTGAACCTCATACAATTGTCCTGGGCCCATTGATCCAGCCTGTCCAGGTCACACATCATCAGTCCATCCACCTGCCCTTCTACCCACCCATTCACACCACCAGCCAGCTAGCCACCTCAGTATTCATCTGTCCACTCTGTCCATCTGTCCGTCCATCCATTCACCCATCCGCCCGCTAGCCCACCCGCCCACTGTAGCCTGCCATGCCTTTTTAGCTAAGTTCTTTCACCACCTCTTTTCCTGACCTGATGCCCCAATCCTTCCCTTTCTCTTTGCAGGAGCAGGTGGCCTGGCTCCTGGTGTGGGTGGCCTGGCTCCTGGTGTGGGTGGCCTGGCTCCTGGTGTAGGTGGCCTGGCCCCTGGTGTAGGTGGCCTGGCCCCTGGTGTTGGAGCTGTTCCAGGTGAGGAGGAGGAAAGTGGGTGGTGGCAGCAAAGGAGTAGGTCTGGGGCAGAATGGGTGTGAATAGGGCCTCCTGACCATTCCTTGGGGGATACAAGCAAGGCAGGAGGCGCGGGTATTTCTGCAGAGGGCCTCCCCATGGGCACTGACCCCTCTCTCGCTGTCTCTGCTCAGGGGTCGGAGGTCCGGCCGCAGCAGCCAAAGCAGCAGCCAAGGCAGCCAAATTTGGTGAGTTGGATAGCAAAGCCCATCAGTGGCAGCTTGGCCCTTCCCGGGCAGTGGGCATCTGGGGTCCCCCTGGGAGCCCTGGCATGACACAGACTGGGGGGCAGTTGGGGTTGGGCACCCCTCACTGAACACATCATCCCACTGGAGTTTGGTGACAACGTGGGATCATCCCACACTGCCTCACTCTCTCTCCTCAGGTGCTAGGGTTCCAGGGGTGCCTGGTGCAGTGCCTGGCGTTGTGCCCGGTGTTGCTGGAGTTCCAGGAGTGCCAGGAGTGACACCTGGTGTTGGTGTTGTGCCTGGGGTGGTGCCGGGTGTGGGGATACCTGGAGCAGGTATGTATTTTGTCACACTGTAGCTGGGGACTAGCCTGGGGACAGTGGTGGCGGGGGATGCTAAAAACCATGGAGCCACGTGAAGGGATGGCAGGAGGGGATGCAGGTGAGAGGGGTGACTTTGGCACACGGGAGGGACGCAGCAGTGACTGTCCTGACAGTGGTGCCCTCATTCACTTCACAGGCATCCCCCAAGTAGGTGTGCAGCCTGGTGCTAAACCTCCCAAATTCGGTATGTATCTCTGCTGCCCTGCCTGTGGTCCACCTCGGACCTCCCTGGGCACCCTCCTCATCTGGCCATTGGAATGCTGGCCTTGCTTCATGTCCCTGTGTGCTCCCTGGTGCCCTGGTGGAGGGTGGCCGAGGTGTGGGAGGTGGTGTGCTGTCATGCATAGGTGCAAAGTCCCGCCCGTGCCCCCTCCCCTGGACTCGTGGGGGACATTTTTCTCCTGCTCTGCATTGTTTGCAGCCATGTGTCATGTAGGTAATGAGCCCCCTCTGAGTCTTTGTGCTCTGAGTGCTGTGACATGGGTGCCAGGGGCACCTAGGATGGGTGTCAGGGCCACCCACAGTGGGTCAAGCATTGACTGGGGGTGCCCTGAGCTGTGAGTACCAGGCTGGGGGGGACAGGGGTTAACAGTCTCTCTCTTGCAGGTGTTCCCGGGGCTGGAGTCCCAGGGGTTGGCGGCATCCCAGGTAGGTGCCGGCAGGAGCTAAGCCCAGGCAGCGGGGATATGTAGGCAAAGGGATGGTCCCCAGAGGGATACTGGTAGAGGGACACTCCCCCAGGGCACAGGAGGATTCGGGCTGCCCGAGAAAGGACAGGGACACATGGGGCTAGGTGAAGAGAGGATCAGATGCTGCCCTACTGCCCTTCCCTTCTGGCATTCACCTGGGGTCCCCATCACAGGTGCCCTTGGAGTCGGTGGTCTCGGAGTTGGTGGCCTTGGAGCTGGTGGGCTTGGTGCTGGTGAGTTATGCTGGCCCCTAGTATTGAGGATGCTCAGGGCTGGGGCACAAGGAGCCAAGAAGCAGCATGTGCTGCAGAGTGTCAGAAAGGAAGGGGGCTGCATGGGGTGCAGGGAAGGCAGGGTCCCTTTTGTGCCCTCTGGACCCATTGGTGTGGTCCCACCCCACACTGTCACCTGTGGCCCATCTTGTGTCTACCAACTGCCCTGCTTCCTGGGGTGTCATCAGAAAGGAACGTCATTGGCAAGCAGGTACTGAGAGTCATAGCACCAGCATTGCCTGTGCCATGGGGACAGGGGACAGTACTGTACCATGTCCTCAACATGTGGAGATACAAGTCCCTGCCTGGGGACCTTCTGGTTTCACAGCAGGGTCCACCTGCAACCCCAGCCCTGGTTGGGGCTGCACTGATGCCCCTCTCTGACATAGGGATCTTGTATCCAGGAGCTGCTGGAAAACCTCCCAAGCCAGGTAAGGAAAACAGGGGCTGCTCCAGTCAAGGGGCTGGAAAGGTGATCCCCTCTCTGTCCCCACACTCCCCACCCTCACCAGGGCTCTCCCGTCCCGCAGCTTTTGGTGTTGGGGGGCTGCAGCCAGGTGAGTGCTGCACTTTGGGGCTGGGTTGGGAGTATCTTCTCTACCAGGCCATGCTTGTCCCCTCTTGCTGTCCCCACCTGCTGTTGTTCCCTACTGGGTATGCCACTGCCTGGGAGAGCACACTGAAACCAGGCGAGTGCCCCAGTGGGGACAGGGGCTCTTGCAGCAGCTTTGTCCCTGCAGTGAACCAGTGAACCTGCAGCCAAGCATGGTTGGGGTGATACTCTTGTCACCGGCTGTCACTTTTTCCCTAGGGGCTGGAGTTCCTGGCTTTGGCATATCACCCATATTTCCAGGTACCATCCCTAGCTCAGCTCCTTGACACCCATCCAGGGCACACTTCGGTCCCTTGCTGGCTCGTGGGGACATGCAAAGCCCACACAGCATGGGGACACGGTGAAGGTCGGGGGGGCAACAAGGGGAACTGGGCTGAGCCAGGGGGTGCAGGGCAGAGCAGGATGGGTGCTGAGGGCCTCACTCTGTTTCCAGGTGGGGTTGCCGGTCAGCTGGGATTCGGCGGTGAGTGCCCAGCCCCCAAGCGGGGCGGTTTTGGGGTGGGGAGTGCATATCTTTCCCACTCCCAGCAGCCAAGTAGGGTGGGGGTCTCACTCACCCCGCTCTGCCTGCCCCTACAGGGAAGCCCCCCAAGACCTTCGGAGGAGCCCTCGGTGCTCTGGGCTTCAGAGGTGAGCGCTGCGGTCGGGTCGCTGGGTCGGCACCCCCTGCCCCGCTCCCAGGCCTCTCGCCAGGGCTCGGGGTGCGGCGGCTCCAACCTGTGGTTCCCCGCCCCGCAGGCGGCTGCGCGCAGGGCAAGTACTGCGGGAGGAAGCGGAAGTGACCGCGCTTCGTCACTGGTGACCTCATGAACTTTGGTGCTACTGCCTGGTCCGGAATGTACCTCCCGAGCAAAGCTGAGACAAACCCTGTCCCCAAAGCCCCGGACCCCGCCCCCCGTGCTGGGGCCATCCCTGGTCCCACGTTGCCGGGAAGGACCCCCCAGCTCCGGCAGCGCCGTCACCCCCAGCCCCTCCGGCCCCGCAGGGGGC